CCCCCTGGTGTTGAGTTTTGCGCCCCAGGCCCGTGCTGGACTGTCCTGGGACCCGATCACGGGTCCCAGAGACCAGAGTCTCAGAGAGAAGCCCGGTCCTACAGAAAACAAGTCGTCGGGAATGTGGGCGTCGGTGCCGAAGACGCCGCCGCCAGCGGCCGCAGCAGCCCTGGGGAAACCAACAGGTACTGATACTGCTACCCCCCAGACCCCGAACCTCTCCTTGGGTGCGTTCTGACTCGGATTTCGAAGCGAATCCAGCGGTGGTGACGAGGGCCTCCCAGGAGGCCCGAAAAGGGGGAAACGCGGGACAGGGTAGCGGTAGGGGTACCTTTTCCTCCTCTGAAGCCCAGCGGCCTTGTCGCCGCGACGCCCGTCGCTTTTTGTTTGTGTTCAGCGACGCTTCTGCGCACGGTGCGGCGGAGGCGGTTGCGACGTCAGAGAGCGGACCCGGGAGGCCGCTCAGAGGCCATAACCCGCGGGAGGCCGCTCGGAGGCCTCCATAGCAGCGGCCTCGGTCGTTGACGCCTGGATCCTCGAGGGCGAGGGAGGAGACGGCGGCGACTGCAGATGACGGAGGACAATAATGATGGAGGATGATGAAGCAGGAGGGTGACGAGGAAGGAGGAGGAAGAGGAGGAGGAGGAGGAGGAGGAAGGAGGAGGGGAGGAACGAGGTGGGAGGGTGGAGGGAGGGGGGAGGGGGGAGACCCGAGGCAGGATGAGGAAGCGAGGGACGGAGGAGAAGGAGGAGGAGGAGGGGGAGGAGGAGGAGGAGGAGGAGGAGGAGGAGGAAGAGGAGGAGGAGGAGGAGTATGACAAGGAGATGGAGGACGAAAGGAGGATGAGAGAAGGAGGAAAGGAGGAGACGTCAAGAGGGAGGGAGGAGGAGTAGGAGGAGGAGGAAGAGGAGGAGGAGGAGGAGGAGGAGGAGGATCAAATGGCTGGATGGAGGCGGCCTTGCCGCCGGGGGTCGGCTCGGAGAGCTGCTCGCAGGTCCACGGCTCCCAACCGTCCTCGTCGGTGTAGTCGGGCCCGGGCACGCACGCGCCCGCCTCTCGAGGCCGCATGGGGCCCCCCCGCCTTTGTCTTTGGGAGCGGAGCAGGGACCGCCCGCCCACGCATTCCTACATTGGCCTGCCATGAAGTCGGGCGTGTCCCCCTACAGGGGGATGTTCGACGAACAATGAAAAATACTAAAATATGCTCCAACATGGTTTTAAACATACTCCAAAAACAGTCCCCAGACTATGTGCAATTACTATTTTTGAATATTCCCCCTGTAGAGGGACAGGTCCAACTGAATCTTAGAACGAGAGAACGTTCGGAGGAACCAACATGTTCTTTGAACACGAAGGCGATATGCTGAGACAGTAGTAAGAGGACGGCAGGACGAGGATTGATTCGGGCGGGGATCAATCGGGAATCTCTGAGATCTGGCGGCTCTGAAGATGTCTCGGGCGCCGCGGCCTTATCAGATCATTCCGGAACGCTCTGATACGTACTGGAACAAATTTATCCTCGTCCTGGCACCGTCCGAAATACGGTCTCAGCCAGAAGCGCTCAAACAACATCTCGTGAGAAATACACAAAAATCTTACAGCAGTCGCTTACAGCAGTTCTGGTGGCCCTAGAGGCATGCCCTTGCGCCTCGCCACTGCTTGATGGATGGGCCCCGAGAGAATCGGTCAAGCGGAGGGGACGAGATCGAACCCGATGAAAATCAATCCACGCACTAGAGACCTACCACATGGGGTCCGAGTAGATGGTGTCGGAGGATCGCGCCACATCGTCGATGCATCGACGATGCGTTGGCAATGCATCGGCGACGCTGGCGGTGCATTGGCGACGCCGGCGTGCAGAAAATCAGGCTCCACATAGAGCCGCATCGCCGATGCATCGGCGATGCGGCCCGATCCTTTGACCCCATCTACTCCGACCCAATCTAAGATGGGGAAACCAAAGGGTAGCCATACCGCTGCTCCCCGCACCTCTCCCGGGGTGCCTCCTGACAACACTTTCGACGCGAATCCAGCGGTGGCGACGAGGGCCGCCCAGGAGGCCCGAAAAGGGGCAAACGGGGGCAGGGTAGAGGTACGGTACATCGACAAAATGTTGCACCACCTGGCGCTGACAATAAATCGCATCGCTGTTATATCAATCGTTTGTTCCCCCCCCCCTCGTCCCCGATCTTAATATTGGGTTCGGTCAAGGCTGGTCGGAACAGCTCGGTGGTGCAACATTTTGTCGGGAGCCCCCGGGCGGAACAGGGGCTCCCCGCGATTCACCTGATATTGAGATCGGGGGAAGGGGGGGGGCAAGAGCAATGCAGTGCAGGTGCCAATGCACAGCAAGAGTGGTGCAACATTTTGTCGATGTACGGTATGGGTACTCCAGATTTCGTAATAAAGGGGAGGGGGTCTGGACCCTCCAAGACAAGCCACTTCAGACCTCCCCCGTGGGAGAACCCTCCAAAACATCGTCCCCGGAGCCCCCAGGCC